CTCACTGACTTCCAGAAGCACTCCCGAGGCACGCGCTGGCTTACACTCACACAGTTACGTGAGTGCACACTCACAGACGCACCCACACAAAAGCTGTGTTCCCGCAGGCTCAGCCGCGTGCAAATCATCCTTCATATGTTCACGGACGCCTCCTCTGCTGTTATGCCCATTACCACACACACTCCAGCTCACACGCACAAACACACTCGCACCAGCACAGCAGGCTCCTGCACATACACATGGCTTCTATATGTGCCCACAGGTGCACTCCCGCCCTGAGCAGCACAAATGCCACATCACATAAACACAAGACTCTTACTGTGTGCCTATCTGTGTGTACACACACCACAGCACACACACACATACCCACAACTACAACCACACATACACCCATGGTCACAGCCACACACACACCCCCAGAGCCACAGCCACACACACACACCCACACACACACACACACACCCATAAACACCCCCACAGCCACGGCCATACACACACCCACACACTCTCCCACAGCCACACACACACACACACACACACACACAGCCGTGCCTGTGCGTTTATGGACTTTCACAACGTAACATGCTCCTGTTCACATGGGCTAAGTGCCACCTACATGGTCACTAGATATGCGCCAAGCGTATGCCCATCTGTACACTCAACCTTCACATCACACACCACACACACGTGCACACACACCCCCTCCTCCGGCTGTTTAGCTGGACCACACAGGCGTCTTGAGGTTGCTTCTCCACCCCCACACCCACCCCCTTGCTGGACATCTGTCCCTGGCTGAGGGAGGACTGTGCTGGGGGCCAGGTTGATGGACCCCCTCGCTCCTCCACTCTGGAGCTCTGGTGACCCCTAGTGGAGCCGCTGTGAAGTGCCCCCTGGCTGCAGGCTGGAGAAGCCCCTGGGGAGCCCTGTCCCTGAGCCCTGGTTCTCCCAAATCCATCAGCCTTGGCAGTCCTGTGCCACCATCTTTCCCGGCAGCCCAGAGCTCCGGCGGCTTCCCCGTGCCCTGAGCTGAGCCCGCGTCAGAGCGGCCTTTGACGGAAGCATAGGGAGGCCTGGGGAGGGGCTGCCCTTCCTTGTCCCCACAGCAGCTCCGCCCAGACCTGTGGACACAGCTTTAGTCCTAGTCAAGCCCCTCCTGGGGGCCAGGCTGCTCCTGGTTCCAGAAGTTTCTGCCAGGCCTCACTCCCAGCTCGGCCTTGCTCTGGCTGTGGTCTGTGGTCCCCACAGACTCGCCTCAGACCCCAGGGCTGGTTCCTAAACCAGGTGTGACACTGGTGTTCTCCATGCAGAGAATTCTGACTTCCATTTAGAATTTTTTCTTTTCTTCTTTTTTTTTGTTTGTTTTTGAGCAGAGTTTCACTCTTTTTGCTCAGGCTAGAGTGCAATGGCGAAATCTTGGCTCACTGCAACCTCCACCTCCCGGGTTCAAGTGATTCTCCTGCCTCAGCCTCCCAAGTAGCTGGGATTACAGGCATGTACCACCACGCCTGGCTAATTTTGTATTTATAGTAGAGATGGGGTTTCACCACGCTGGCCAGGATAGTCTTAAACTCCTGACTTCATGTGTTCTGCCCACCTCAGCCTCCCAAAATGCTGGGATTACAGGTGTGAGCCACGGCACCCGGCCCATTTAGGATTTTTTCAACTTCACATGGGTTTGTTGGGACAGAGCCCATAGTAAGTGGAGGGGCACCGGCACGTGGTTCTTCCTCCAGCTCCACTCACTGGAGAGACACATGTACACACACTCGCACCCACACAGCAGGCTCGTGCACATACACATGGCTCCTATATGCGCCCACAGGCACACTTGTGCCCCGAGCAACACAAATGCCACATCGCACAGACACAAGGCTCTGAGTGCCCTCTGTGCGTATACACACCACAGCACAAGCACACACACACCCACCCACAACTACAGCCACACACACTCGCTCCCTCTTGCTGGAGTTTCATTGCTGATGTCATCCAAGCACCTGCCCAGCCCCCCCTCTTCTTGGCAAGCATCTGCTTCTTCCAGTGTTTGGAGGAAAAGCAAACAGTTTTTCCCATTTCCTTCCCATGCTGTCTCCCCGAGGCTGCTCCTCAGGGTCCCTGTCATCACCCCCAGCCCTGCTGTGGCTTCAGTTCACTTTGCTGCTGATCACCACCCTGATGATCACCTGGCCACTGCTCCTGTCTGTGGGCACGGGAGAAGAGGGGGTGGGAGCTGCCGTTATTCCCATTTATGGCTCTACCCCTTGGTTTCTACCTCACCACTGCCCAAAGCTCTACAGGGCAAGAGCTTTTTATAAGAGGGATTGGAATAATTGGAGGGGAATTACCACATGTGAGCAGCAGGGCTGCTACATTCAGTTGCATGGGTTGCGCACTACACAGTTCTGGGCACCAAGCACGTTGCAAGCATTGTAGAGTAGTATGCTTAAGATGATGATGTTCTGAAAGATGGCAGCAAAAATGCCTAAGGTACAAGGATAATTTTTCTAATTTGCACAAAGTGTCTTTGGACTAGGGATGGGCATGATTGAACAATGAACGCTGTATGTGAAATATGGCTTTTTCTCCACAGCCTAAGAGGAATGAATGCTTCCCTCTCTTGGCTTCCTTTGGGGAACGGCTCTTCCCCTATTCCATCCAAATATGTGATTCTTCCGACTTGCTGCTTAAAGGATGACCTCCTCCCCTACAACAGGAAGGGGAATGTCACCCACCTCTGGCAATCCTGTGGACCATAGTGGTACATCCAAAACCTGGGGACATGACTCAAGCTGGACCAATCATAGTCCTTCCCTGGGAGTTACATGTACTGAGACAAAAGAAAGACAATCTCTCTGGTCTTGGGAATTTCTAAATGTGTCTGAAGGAGCCGGGGTGTGTCTCCCACCTGTGAAGGAAGCTTCTCTGTAGGAGGAGGGAACAGGAACATCAAACAGAGAAGGAGAGGTGCAAGAGGGGAAGGAAGGAAGGGAGGGAGGGAGGAAAGAAAAAGAAGAGGGAAGGAGGAGGGAAGGGAAAGGGAGGTAGGGAAGGAAGGAAAGAAGGAGGGAGGGAGGGAGGGAGAGAATGAAGGAGGGAGGGAGGGAAGAGGGAAGGAGGGAGGGAAAGTGGGACAGAGGGAAGGGAAGGGAAGAAGGAAAGGGAAGGAGGGAGAAAGGGAGGGGAAGGGAGAAAAAGGGAGGAAAGAAAGGAAAGAAGGAGGCAGGGAGGGAAGAAAGGAGGAGAGAGGGACCTGAAGACACTGTTTGAGTCTCTGAACCAGTTAAACTACAGACCAGCTCCATTACTGTCCTGTCACATGAGCCAAAAAAGCCCACCCTTTCTTCTTAACCTAGTTTCAACTGAGTTTCAGTTACCCACAAACAAAATAATTCTGCGAAACAGAACCAGCTCTCAGAACCTGACCCACAGGAATTGGCCCAGTCACACCCCACTTCACACCACACTCCATCCCCGCTCCTGGCCTGCCCTGTCAGCTTCCTCCCTGAGCAGTTTCGTTGAGGTGATTTCCTGGGAACTGCAGCAGCATGCTCCCCCATGGGTGGGGGCGCCCTGACTCCAGGGGCCAGGAGGGGAGGCTCTGGAACTCTGCCCCACAGTGCAGTTCCAATGGAGTGGGACCTCGAAGCCAGGTCCCCATCACGGGGCATCCCGCCTGTGCAATGCGCTCACCTCTAAGTCCTCAGAGCACCAGCAGGGGTCTGTTGGACAAAGCCACACCGAGCATCTCACCAGAATAAGCATGATTCGCAGAAACAGTGTTGCTAGAGCCTCTAAGCCAAAATTGGAGTTTCTTCACTGTTGAATTCTCAAGGTTCCCTCTCTCCCAGATATCCAGTCAATCACATCATTCTGCAGAGCAATATTTACTTCCTCTCCTTCAACTTTCACGTTGCAGCTTCTTCTAATTTGTGTCTCTTTAGAAACTGGGCCCAAGGAAAGGGCTGATGTCCTGGGGTCACTCTCTGAACAACGCTTCCTCAAATGTACCAAAAGTAGCTTTAACATTTCCACCTGGATTCTTAGAAAGGCCCTTTTCTCTCCAATTTCATCTGAAGAAAAGAGGGGGTAGCTTATTTTCGCAGTTCCATGATTTCTAATAGGTCCACAATATTCCTTTGAGTGAACTGCCTTCATTCACTCAACTATCTCTCTATTACTGGACATTGGGTAACGTTCAATTTTTTTTTTTTTTTTTTTTCTGAGACGGAGTCGAACTCTGTTGGCCAGGCTGTAGTGCAATGGTGCCACCTCAGCTCACTGCAACCTCTACCTCCCAGGTTCAAGCAATTCTCCTGCCTCAACCTCCCTAGTAGCTAGGATTACAGGCACGCGCCACCATGCTCAGCTAATTTTTGTATTTTTAATAGAGATGGGGTTTCACCATGTTGGCCAGGCTGGTCTTGAACTCCTGACCTTAAGTGATCCGCCCACCTCAGCCTCCCAAAGTGCTGTGATTACAGGCATGGGCCACCAGGGTCAGCCAAATGTTCAATTTTTAACCTTTAAAAATAACACTATGATGAACACGTTTGAGTATAAATATTTTCCTAGGCTTAGCTTATTCCCAAAAATAGATTTACCAAGGCAATGGGGAGGAATTTTAGTACATACTGTCTTGGGATACAAAAAAAAAAAAAAAAAAAAATCTGAAACACAAAATAATCCAAAGATGACAACAAGAGTTCCTATTGAAAAGAAAATAAAAAGGAAATAGGTGGAGTATTCAGTGTCTCAAAGAAAACAATAGTAGGCAAGGCAAAGAGCAGGGACGTGAGGTACCCGCTATTCTGCTGCACTGATGCGAGATCTTCTATAAGCAAAATAGCTCAGGCAGATAAGTGTGTGGCTTTCCTTTCTTCATGGCAAATGCTTCTGTTTGTATTGACAAAGAAATCGAATTGAATACCACAAGCCAGATAGCTTTTCTCTCAGCCTTGTTTTTTAAAATACAAGTTTCGTATGCAGTTAACATGTGCTTTCACTTCTGAGGTTCTGGAATGATCACCTCTTCCTGTTTCCTACAGTACCTCTAGCCTGCTGCAGCCTTCCTTAGAGGGACAAGGGTGGCAGCCTCTTTGCTGGGCTCCCTGCCTTCAGTCTACCCTCAGTTGAATCTATGGACCATTGTACACCCAAACCCATTCTCTTCAATGTCTATTTCAGTATTTCACATCTCTGAATGCAAACGTATCACAGAGCTACTTAAGTCCCTTTTCCAGGAGTTTTCAGTGGCCGGGAGGCAGATGCGGAGTGAGCAGGAAGCTGATGTCTTCGTTGGGATTCCTACAAAAGCCAACTGTGACACAAGTCTTGGGGAGCAGTCGTTTCTTTGGAAGGAGATCCCACAGAGCACTACGAGAGAGTGGAGAAGGGGCAGAGAGAGGAGAAAAGGCAGTGAAGTGTGCATTTCTGAGCAGGTCACTGTGGGCCACTCGGGCACAAGCCCACGGGCATCACTGAGAGGCTCGGTGGGACGCACCTCAGAGTTGTCACACTGAGTTGGGAGGCTGCGCGTTTAGCTGTCAAGTCCCATCCATTATTGCTTGTGGGCTGCTCCTGGCCACCTTCTGGCCTGTCTCACCTGTGGCCAGGTGTTCTCGGGTGGAGGGGCTACAGATGAGTGCAAGAATCCTCTACAGAAGACCCTGGCTAGGCTGGGGCATACAGGCCAGCTCTGACGGCTGCTCCACAGTTGGATCTGTGTGTGTGTGTGTATTCACACACACATGCACATATATATCCACACATGTATATGCATATGAATTTTTTTTTTTAGATGGAGTCTCTGTTGCACAGGCTGAAGTGCAGTGGCATGATCTTGGCTCACTGCAACCTCCACCTCCCAGGTTCAAGTGATTCTCGTGCCTCAGTTTCCTGAGTAGCTGGGATTATAGCCACCTGCCACCACACCCAGCTAATTTTTGTATTTTTAGTAGAGACAGGGTTTTACCATGTTAGCCAGGCTGGTCTCCAACTCTTGACCTCAAGTGCTCTGCTTGCCTCAGCCTCCCAAACTGCTGAGATTACAGGCGTGAGCCACCGTGCCTGGCCTTACGCATATGATTTTTAAAACAAAAATAAGATTTTACTCTGCTGACTGATATTTTTGACTCAACTCTGTTGGACAACTTTCCACATCAACAGAGATATTCTATTCCCACATTATCCATGGCTGAACAGTATTCTATTGGGAGGATGCATCCCCATCAGACATATGTTTGTTTGTTTTAGAGACTAGGTCTCACTCTGCTACCCAGGCTGGAGTGCAGTGACATGATCATAGCTCACAGCATCTCAAACTCCTGGGCTCACGTGATCCTCCTGCCTCAGCCTCCTGAGTAGCTGGGACTATAGGCACAAGCCAACGCACCTGACGCCTGTCAGACATTTGTCGTTTCTAACTTTGGTTGACATGACAAAGGTGGACAAGAAGCATCTGCCTGAAACACAGCTGGCCACATGGCTCGGCATTTCCCTCCTGCTTGAAACCCACCGACAGCTCTCCATTACCCACAGGGCCAAGCTTCAATTTCAGACCTTGGCATTCAAGTGTGACCTGTCCCTGGGCCTCTGCTCCCTGCTCAGCTCCTCTTCCACAGTCAGTTTGACCCACTGGGTCATCTCAGGTCCTATCCATTCATACAGCTGGGTCTTGGCTTGGGCTGTGTCCCCAGCCTGACAGCGCCTGTCTTCCCATGCTGCTTGGCCCCAACAAGGACTGCCTTCCTTGGAACCCCATCCCTCCGCGATCAAGTCCTCTCTTTTTCATGATCCCTGGCTCGTAGTCTTACCTTTCTGCTCTCTTTTCATGGATACATTTTCACTTCCCAACAATGCTGGGACCAGTGACCACACTGCTTATGTCTCCAGCATTCAGATGGCACCTTGCACATGCAGATGCTTCCTTGGTCAAGGTTGGTTGACGATGAGCAAAGTGGGTGGTTCTCTTTCTACCTGGATTGAGAGTGGAGGCGGAGAGAGGCACCTTTGTGTTCCATTCACTGGGGGACTGTGACCCCGGTGCCTGGATCTCAGCCTGTTGATGGCTATTGAAGACATAAGACCCATGGGGACAGGAAAGCACTGCCCAAGCCCCCCTCCCCTAGAGACAGGGGCCAGGGTGCAAAGGGGGAGGCAGGAACCGTCTTCCTGGTTCTAACTCCAGGACTGCCAGGAGGGGAGCTGACATGGAGAGTGGGGGAAAATCGACTCGGGGTGCTAATCCCAGCTTCCTGTCTGGATTTTCCTTGACTGCTGCCGGGGCCCTATCTTAGGATGCTCACAGCTGCAGAAATAGATCTCCCCTTTCACCTGTTCTTAAGCAAGGAACTAACTTCGCTAACTTCCTGTGAAAAGAATGCATGCTTCGGTAACTTTTCCAGTATGGGAGACAGTACTGGGACACGGTGCTGAAGTCACCACGAGTTTCCTTGTCTGAGGAGCAGTGGTTCACCTTGGCCAGGAAACAGGGGGCAAACAGCTGCAAGGAGAGAGGCCAGAAGCTGGCCACGTGTTTCCAGCCAGAGCCCCCAGCCAATTCCATGAATTCTGGCGATGTTTCCTTCCTTGGTCTGCTCCAAAAACCACTCTTTGCTGGCAGGAAGCCCCTCTCTCTGATAGAGTGACAGGGAGCAGATCCTCTGCTAACCCCCAGCCTCCTCCTACAAAAGTCTCTGTTTCTCTTGAACTCATCAGCTGAGTCAATCCGGCTCTGGGACCCGAAAACCAAGCCTCCCCAGCCACTTGCTTATTCACTCAACAAACATGGCACGCCTCCCTCCCCCGCACCAACCCAGCCCCAGTTCTGGGGACTGGCAAGATTCAGGGAGGGAAGCCCGGAGCAGCGCGGCGGGAGGTGGACATCCCCGGGAGGAGATGGGCCTCCTGGTGGTGGGGTAGGGCTCCTGGGGACCCCAGGTCCGCGATGGAGGTAAGAGGAGGGAATAGAGAGATGGAGCACCCAGGAGCACGAGGCGGGAGGAGGGGGAGGGGAGGCTCCACGCATGCGTGGGAAGAGACCTTTGCGTCCTCGGCGTCGCTAAGGCAACCGACACCAGCCATGGCCTCTGGGGCGGGCAGGAGCTGGGGTCGCTCCCCACCGCAGAGCGCAGCCGCGACGGTGAGGGTTGAGCCCGGGAGCAGATCCTGCCTTAGCTTGGGGCACGACAGAGCGGGGAGCGGTCCCTGGAGGGGCCAGATCCTGGGAAGGAAAAGCGTGGGCGCAGGGCGAGGAGAGAAACCCCCAAACCAAGAGGAAGAGGCGTGGCAGGGAGCGGGCATTCCACGGGGCTGGAGAGGAGAACTCGGCCCCTGCGGGGTTAGGGAGGCCACTGGCCGGGAGGGTTTGGGCTCGCAACGTGTCCCCATCCATTCTCCCCACCCTGCCTGGCTGACTCCGCGCACGCCCCCAGCCCTGGGTCACCGTCCTGCAGCCCCTCTCATGGGCCGTCCCACCTGCGCCCCTGCAGCCAGGCCGTGTGAAGGAAGGTGAGACTCCCGCGTCCCCCCGCCCCCCTCTACACCACCACCATCACCACCACTCACCCCCTTCTGCCTCACACATTCTCTGGGAGTCCCTGCAGCACAACCCGCCCATCCATTCTGCGCTCCTGGGGACAGGGGTGTCAGGGGGCGGGGGGCCCGGAGGCGCCCGGCCTGGGCTTGCTGAACTCGCTTCCTAGACCTGCTGGAGCTGATGATGCTGCAGAACGCGCAGATGCACCAGCTGCTGCTGAGTCGCCTGGTGGCCGGGGCGCTGCAGCCCGGGCCCGCCTCGCCCTGCCCTCAGGTGTGTGTGGGTGGTCCACCGGGGTCACTCACCTGCGGGTCCAGGGATGGGGATCCAGCTGGGGTTCCTGTTCAGGGGGAAGAAGAACTGGGAGACAGAGGAGCAGGAAGCCAGTCTGTCTCTCTGGCTGGGGCTGCTTGGCAACTGTTATGTATCAGGCCTGTTTCAGTATCCATGAAAGGTGGGTGGTGGGGGAAAGAGACCCCCCCAAAGTCCAGAACACCCAGGTCTTGTTTTCAAGGAGGTTTCCCTGGAGTGCCCCCCCTCCCCGACACTGGACTTGAGGCTCCAGGAGGGCAGGCACCCTGGTAACCCTGCCCCCATTTATCATGTGCACCTGGCCTGGTGCCTGCCACTGTGGAGGGGCTTAGCTGATATTTGTTGAACAAGTGAATGAATAAATGAATGGTTAGGAATACAAGGCCAGGTTGGCTGTGATGGCACATGGACAGGTACAAAGCACAAATGTGCACCGGGTTGGGGGTTGAGGACAGGCTCCTTGGAGGAGCAGGGGAACTTAGAACCAGCCCTTGAAAGCCAGGTAGGATTTTGACCCTTGGAGGAGGCAAGGGGTGTGTACCCCATCCAGGCTGGCAGGGGCAGAGTCAGGAGACAGAATGGGGGGAAACGTGTGTGGCTGTGTGTGCAAGTATGTGTGTGCGCATCGCATGTGCAAGTGTGTGTGTGTGTGTGCAAGTGGGTGTGCGTGCGTGTGCATATAGCTCTAAGGCTGAGCTTTACTCAGCCAACAATGAGCATCCTGAAATTGGGAGAAGCAGGGACTGGGTGGAGAGAGGATGCTAGTCAGCTCAGAGGAGGCGGAGAGGGGTTCAAGGAATCCAGGCAGGGGGAGACCCTGAGGAACTACTGCCATCCCTCACCCCTGGGCTCTCAGTGATGACACATACATAGGTGGGTCCAGGGGCTGGGGATGAGGCCGGGGACAGCTCAGTGGACTACTGGCCCGAGCTGTGGGTTCACACCTGGAATCTTCCAGTCCCTGCTATGCCTTAGGAGCTGGGTGGCCTTAGACAAGTTGCTCAACCTCTTTGAGCTTCAGATTTCCCATCTACATCGTAAGGAGTAAATGTCTCCAAAATGCCTTGCCCGCATGTAGTAAATGCTGAGTAAACACAAGCCATTTTTACAAAGCATATCTAGAGGGAATAACTCAGGGGAATGGAGGAGTCCTGGATTCTCATTTCCCCTCCCTGTTTTGCACAATCCCCAGGTCTACCTGGAGGTTCCGCAGGAAGAGCCTGAGGAGGAGGAGGAGATGGACACGCAAGAGAAAGGGCCTTTGGTGTTTCACCACCACTACCTGTCCTACCCGATGCCCTCCCCGAGTGCCCTGCTGCCCTGGCCGGCCCCCTTCTTCCCGGCCCCCTTCTTCCCCACTCCCGCGTGTCAGCCCCACTTGCAGGATGCGCCCAGGATTCAGCACTGGCCTCCTGCCTCCAGGGAAAGGGAGGCGTAAGTGAGGCTGGGTGCTGCCAGGCTTCTGCTCTGGGGCCAGGCTGGAAGAGCTGTACAGGGGCTGCTGGTCAGTGGAGATAACTTGTGGGTGAGACCCCCGAGGCCACCCCAGGCCTCTGATGGGGCCTTTTTCTCTCCCCCATCTCAGGAGGGCTGTGCCCCCACCCCCACCCCCCAGTGCCACAGGGACTGTGGGCGCTGATGTACCGCCGGCTTCAGGTAGGCTGGGGTTGGGGGCAGCGGGGCCCAGGCCTGGGAGTGAATCAGGAGGCCAGGAGGGCCCGGGTGCCCTCCAGCCGGGGTTGGGGGTTTCCTACCATCACTGCTGCGGGCAACTGGCCTGTCCCCCTCCCTTTTCCTCTTTGGGGTCCACTGAGGCAGGAAGGAGTCAAGATTAGGCTGCTGTTTCCCCAGACTACTATGATGCCGAGAGCCTCCTGTGAGGACAGACGCTGGCCCGGAGACCTGCACCAGCTTCGCGCTCCGTGGGCGCGATACAGCCGTGGGCCCCTCCTGCACCTCCCTCTCCTCCTCTGTGCCCATGGCTGGCGGTCCTTCTCATTCCCTCAGCCTCAGCCAGGCCCTCTTCTCCTGGGGAATCAGTCCCTGCTCCACCCCCAGGAGTCGCTGGATGGGCCTGATCTGTGCCATGGTGTCAGAGCTCAGGCAGCACCCAGGCCCTTGAAGCCACAGCAGCTGCCTCTGCCTCACCGCTTCCCGCCTGGAGCAGGGGGAGGCCTGGGAACACAGCCCCCGCCCTCTCTCCCTCACCCCTCTCTCTGGGATGATGAAGTCTCCTTCCAGCCTAGTAATAGAGCCAGACGGGAGTGGGGGTTGCTTCTGTTTTCCACAGCTTTGAAGGCCCCTTGGAGGTGGCTGGAGGGGCCCAGAGTAGTGGGGGAGACCTGGGCCCCCACCCCTCGCCCCAGGAAGCGGTTCTGTTGGCAGAAAGGAGAGGTCAGAACTTTGTCCTGCTGTGGCCAGAGGTCTCCTGGGGCCAGAACACAGTGTCCTCTGCCTGCCGGGCCAGGGTGTTTTCCCCACCCTCCCTCAGTAGGAATGAGCTACTTAGGCCAGATGGGGGCCTGGGTGGGAAGGGAGGCATCTGGGGAAAGGGGTCCCCCTGTGGTGGCTCGCCTCCCTGGCTGTTGTCATCCCTGGAGGAGACACTGTGGGCACAGGCTCAGTCCAGGAGTGTGTATTCAGGCTAGAAAAGGCGATGTCCCTAGAGTCCTCTGCTGCCTGTCACAGTCCTTCGCCCAGAGCTGGACCTCAACTCTGAGGAGCCACACTGAGTTCCAGTGGCCACCATGGCGGTAGCCACGCCACTCATGCCTGCTATGCCCAGAAGGCCTGGGGCAGCCTCCTCCAAGCTGCTCGCACCCTGTAGGTGCCCGTCCGCCGCTGGCGCCAGTGCTGGCTGAAGATGAAGCAGAGTAGGACGGATGTCACAAACAGGAACAGCAGCGCTGACACCACCGAGATGATGATGATCATCTGGCTGTCCGGGACGGGCTCTGGGGGTGGAAGGGCAAGGGTCTTAGACGTCCAGTGATCCCAGATACCAGGGACCAAAAGAGAGTGGAAGTCGACCCCCTACCTGGCCCCCAGCCCCTGCCGCCCGCTCATCCATCCTGCAGTCACCCCAGGTTGTAGAGATGAGTGGCGAATAGTGTCTGCATTAAAATTATTATCTGGAAGAAAGGTGGCCCTGGGCTCAGGCTACCAGCGGACTTCTGTGAGACTGCAAGGGCAGATGTCCTCTTGTCAGCAGCCCTGGGACCAGTGTATAGCTGCTGGACACCATGGCCTGGAGGGTGGCATGGTCCCAGCCAAGCCCCTTCTCAGGCAGAGCTGAGTGAGTTCATGCCAAGCTCCCTGAGGACAGGGAATGTGCCGGCCATGCAGAGCCACCAAACAGCAGAGCTCTGGGGACCTCGGGGGGCAGTCAGGTCAAACTTCTCATTGTAGAGAGAAGCCAAGGCCAGGGAGAGCGGTCAAGGCCATGGGCTCCATGGTGGCCAAGGAACTAGTTGAGCTGTCCTGACCTCTGGAACTGTTGGGGCCCAAGCTAGGGATGCGGAGAGAACTTGGGGGAAGAGGGAGTAAGAGGGAAGCCTCGGGGCAAAGGGTGGGGGCCTGGGTGTGCTTCCCAAGTCGGGCTCGAGGCTTTTCTTCCCCCACGGGGCTGAGAGTGCCTTCTCACTCCCCCTCCATCCGTGGAGCCCCCTCACCATAGATAATCAGCATCTGCGGTTCTGAGTGTTTGTGAAAGATGTCGCCACCGCGAGACAGCAAGTCCAGCACGGCCAGGCAGGAGAAGTTGCGGTGACGGTCCTCTCTGTGAGCCGTGCTGTTGAATGTGGCTGTGGCCTCCTGCAGGGCAGGGGCTCCCTTCCCGAAGGTCTGACTGTGCAGAGTCTCATTGCCACGGAACAGGAAGAGGGTGAGGCTGTCCAGGGGCTCCACGGCGGGCACCCTGCACTCAATGGTGAAGGACTTGCCCACGGTCACCCACGTGGGCTGCAGCGTCAGGATGACCTGCGTTGGAGGCTCTGCAGGGGACAAAGGAGGGAGGTCCGGTCAGGATGGGGGTGTTGTCCCAGCAGCCTCCCGGCCAGGGCCATCTCCTGTCACTGTGGTATATCATGGTTTGGGAGGAGGCGGCCTGGGCCTCTCCAGTGCAGAGGCAGAGGGCAGCAGTTGAGGACAAAGCCTGGACTGGGTGGTAGTTTCACAGACATGATGGTTTCGGGTGACCAGGCATTCACGAGGACAAGGTTCAAAAATTGTACAGCCAGCTGGAAAGACATGAAAGTTTGCACCTGTCTCCCTCTCCTTCAGAAACGAAATACAAATTTCAAAAATTAAACAGTTAGGTGATGACGTTGAGAGAGACTTAGATGGGAGTGCTCATTGGAACTGGGCACTCAAGGAGCTGAGCTGTGACGTGAGGTTCCATTCCTCACTTAGGGGCTGGGACCAGAGCCAGACCTGCCCAGGTTCTCCAGCGTCAGGGTCATGGTCACCATGATTCCTCACCTATGAAACCACCTGAGGGGCTACCCTGGATTCCCTTTTGAACTAGAATACTTCACCCCACTCACCCCACCTCCCACCCTGGGAGAATTATGTTGGATTTAAGACATCTTTCTATTCATTGGTCCACTGCAGCTGATGATGGAATGGACCCAGGTGACACCCTTAGAGCCTAGACGTACTATCCCGGCCCATCTGGAAATTTTCATGGCTCATGTGCAGATGTGTGATAGCCACAGATTTGCCATGGGCCCTAAGGGGAAGATAAAAACCCTGGGTGACACCTCAACCCTCTCATCATGAGGTGGATGGAGCCAGCACTCTGGATGGTGACCCCAACTACTTGGCATAAGACATGGGGTGCTCAGGTGACTCAGCTATGTTGGGAAATGACTTCTGGATTTGGCTAAGCCTTGGTTAGATTGTCCTCCCCTAAGCAAGACTCAAAACTTGGGTTGTCTGCTTCTGAGATGCCACTGGGCTCAAGGCATCCAACCAAGGATCTTGTTCCTTGTCACCACAGGAGCTCAGGGAGGTGGGGCCCACCACGATAGTGCCCATGAGTGGGCACAGAGGGGCTCCGTGTGCATTCAGTAGACAGAGGATCTGCCCCAGGGGAGGGGAGGGCCCCGGGCACAGCCACTCACGGTACACGCTGACGTTGAAACTCGATGACACCTGCTCCCCGGAGCAGATGAAGTAGCAGTGGAAGACCGTGTCCTGGGAGATGTCTGAGATCAAGTAATGTTTCCACTGAGTCTGCTCAGCCAACACAGTCTTATTTAGAGGGGTCTCCAGACCACCCATTTCAGGCTGGTTACAGGTGGTGCTGCAGTTGACCTCGAGGGACCCCTTGGGCTTAACCATCAGCTTCTTTGGTCTCACATGTACCTTGAATGCCTTCTCACCGGACCCTGGAAGACCAGAAACACTGGGCAGTGGTTGTCCCCCCACTCCCTCCAGTGGAGCTGTCCACCAAGGCAGTCTGGCTCCTGAGTCAGGGGCTCAAGAGGAAAGGCCGTGGGGGGCCCGGCTGCTACTCACCCCTCGTCAGGTGTCATGGCCCCAGCTAGACCAGGGGGCCACCCCCAGTTGACACCCCATCTCTGGCTCTCCTTCCTTCAGCCCCCCAGCTGGCACCCCACCTCTGGCTCTCCTACCTCCAGCCCATCTGCCCATCAGCTCCAGATGAGTCTTCTTCAGGCTGTGCTCCATCTTTGTGGAGCAGGGTTCCACTGATCTTTAAGGTCAGCCCGAATGTCCCCTGCACCACGAAGCCCTCCCTGTTTCCTCTGTGGCCCTCCCTCCTTTTCTGTCTTCCATAAACAGTTTTTGAACACCTGCTTTGTTCAAAGCAGCAGGCTCTAGGGATACAGCAATGATCAAAGCAGACCCAATGCTGCCCAGGCGGGGCTCCAGCGAACAGTGACAGGCAGAGCACCCAGCCGGTCAGATGGCGGGAAAGCTCCAGAAAGGGAGCTTAAATAGTGTGTGCCAAGAAGGCCTCACCCAGACGGTGACACGTGGGCAAAGGCATGCAGGGGCGTGGCACGCCCTGCAGTGGTTCTGGGGAAGGGAGGCTGCAGTGCAGAGGCAGGGCAGGAAGATCACTGGAGCCCAGGAGTTGGAAGCTGCAGCAAGCTATGATCACAGCCTGCACTCCAGCCTAGACAACAGAGCAGGAACCTGTCTATAATCAAAATAAAAAATAAACATTTAAAAAGCCTCCGCAGGCTGGGTGTGGTGGCTCATGCCTGTAATCCCAGCAATTTGGGAGACCAAGGTAGGTGGATCACTTGAGTCCAGGAGTTCGAAACCAGATCCCCCATCTCTATAAAAAAAAATACAAAAGTTTGCTGGGCGTGGTGGCTCTCACCTGTGACCCTGGCTACTCAGGAGGCTGAGGTGGGAGGATCACCTGAGCCCAGGGAGGTACAGTGAGCCATAATCATACAACTGTACTCCAGCCTGGGTGATAGATGGAGACCCTGTCTTAAAAAAAAAAAAAACACAACCTCAGCAACTTTTGGGCCATCTCTTCTACCTGAAGCCACAGGAAACGGGGCACCCCCACCCTCTCAGCTGGCATGTGCCAAATCAGGAGCCGCAAGAACCTGGCTTACCTGGACAGCAGACCAGGGCAAAGAGGGCCAGGGTCAGGCTCAGGGTCAGGGTCCCGCAACTGAAAGAGAACATTTCTGGTGGTGTCCGCGGGCTCACAGGGACCAGCCAAGGGCTGCCTGGAGGGAGACGGAGGGCGCAGGTCAGCGTGCAGGTCTGAGCCACAGCTCAAAATCCCCAGCCTTCTGCAAACTGGTGACTGCATTTCCTCTCATTATCTGAGAGGTCTTTGGGAAGCCACGTGCACCAGCCGGTTCTAGGACCCCGGGCCTCTAAGAATCCAGGCAGAGGAAGCTGGGAAGCTGCTGATAAGCAGGGCAGAACCCAGTCCTCCCCGCTGGTTCCTTTGCAAGGGGCGGGGCAGGCCACGGGTGCACACATGCCTGTGTGTGAGACACGTATACACAGGACTCTGGCGTACTGTGTGTGCACAGGGGAGAGTCAGGCCTATGAACCCCAAATCCCATGAAATCCATTGCTGGAGTCACCCCTGGGTGGTGACCATCCAAAGGCAGGACCTGTCCAGGACATGCAGTCACCATAGCAAAAGGGGACAGCGACTTGGGCTTTTCTAACGAACCCTGGACAGGAATTGGAGCTTCTCCTGCTAAATGCCCGGTGTAAGTCTGCATAAACCTTAACATTCCACTCAGTTTTCAACCTAAACTTGACCTTGACCCAGCTCATTCAGGGCCAGCTTGAGGCCCAGAGCCTCAGGAAATGCATCTCATAATAGTCCCCAGCAATCCAGGCACAGATGGAGAATGGGGGTCAGTCTAGCTACAGCCACACCCCCAAACCGTGACCTCCATCTTCTGACCTGCCTGATGTCCTCCATCCTCTCCCTCCCTCCAGGAGGGATCCTTGGGCTGGGGGTGTTGGGGCCTGAGATGTTTCAGTATATTCCTAGGGAGGAAGCCCCTGAAGCAGTGAGCTGGTAAGACACGGATTTCAATGGACAAGAGGACCTTCCTGGGGGATTGCCACACATTCTCATCCCCCAGTTCTGCCTAAGACCCCTTGCAATCAGGAAGAGGAAGAGCATGTCTTCTTGCTTTCTCAGGGGAACCCGAGATGGAGCCTTTCCAAAGTGATGCCCCAGAATCCTCAAGACTTTGGCCAAGCTCTGTTCCCAGATTGGGAGGGCAGGGTGAGGTCCTGCCCTTCCCTCACTGCTGAGGCCAAAGGCAGTTACTCCTGTGCACAGCCATCAAGCACTGCCATTGTCAGCCTGGACCCAGGAATGTCCCTGGACAGGGCACTGGACTTGGGAATGATGCAGGCAGGAAGGGGCGGGACCTGGGGACAGCAGAGAAAAGGAGAACAGGGTGGAGCTGCACCCCCAGCCTGGAGGAATCTGATCCCATGCCAGCAAAGTACTGAGAGTAGGAACCCTCCCTGAAAATCAAGCCAGGGGCTGTGGAGGTGGTTCCAGGGGCTGGGACAGCAGGATGGGAGTGGGGGCATTGCTGTAGTGGAGACTCTGTGTCCTCCACTGAGTCAGAATCATAATAATAATAATAAACAAAACAACAGCAATAATAATAACACTCACTTACTACAGGTGGGACACTGTCATAAGCACTCTATAAATATTAACCAATTAACCCCTAACTCTGTGAGGCAGGTACTGTTAATGTCCCCATCTTACAGATGGGGAAACTGAGGCATGGCAAGTTTAAATGACTTTGTTCAAGGTCACATACCCAGGAAAAAGTGAAGTCACCATGAATGATAGCCTGCCATGGTGACCGTCAAAGCCCACCTGAGCAGGTACAAGAGGAGTGGTGGGAGCTGGACTCCCAGGAGACCCTTAAGAGGGAAAAGCAACACAGCAAAGGAAGGTTCTGGGGCCTTTCTCATCGTGAGGGGCTTGGGGGAGGGAGGTAATCCACACCTGGAGTGCTCCAAACAGCTTCTGGAAGGCACAGTGCTTGGGAATCCTACCTGCACAGACAGTGGGGTTGGCATGATTCCCTCTCCAAGCAAGGCCTCTGCAGCCCAGCGTCCTCCCTTGAACCCACAGGCCCCAGTTCCCACCCCCACCTCCTCCTGTAATGTCTCCCATCCTTCCTGGGCAGGCCCTGCTTGGCTGGGACATACTGGGCATGTGACCATCTATTTGATAGAAATATTTACTGCATTCTAACCATTGACACATCAACCTCCCTCTCCCCCACACTGGCCTGTCAACCATGAGGGCAAAAACTGAAACTCATGGACTGGTAAATCCATCCAGTGTAGGACACTGCCTGGCACACAGTAGCTGCTTCATCACTCCTGGATTGGGGGTGGATGGATGCATGGACTGGTGAACGAATGAGAAAGTCTGTCCTAAACAAGCTGGGGTTGTTTAGGGCAAAGGCTGTGTTTATTTTTAGGTCCTAAGCATCTTTTGGTTTTGTTTGCCCAGCATCTCCTTCCTGCTACTGCTGAAGTCTCTGCTCCCCAAGGCTACAGGCTGACCTGATAATGGAAACAAGGCCAATCATGGTACCTTACTCCTCGAGAATGGGCACGTTGAGTCAGGCGTGAGCAGAGGTTTTCCTAGGACTTTCTGAACCACAGCCGATAGGAACAAGCCCTTCCCTTTCGGGTCCTAATGCGAGATGCACATGAGCCAGCAGCTATGAGTGCCCGTGCCCCACAAGTGAAGAAGCTGAAAGGAAGAAAAGTGAACTCAGTGCGGAAGATACCCTTAATCCTAGCTGGAAGGTGATCCAGAATTGCTGCGGGGAAAGTACCAGCTGTGAGGGAAGGGGTGGACTCTGGTGGGTGGCGGTCTGGGTTAGGTGGCCGGCAATGACTCTGTGTCCACTCAGGACTCGTGTTGCAGAAGTGAAAGAACCTGGGAGGCAGAGATTGCAGTGAGCTAAGATCATGCCACTGCACTCCAGTATGGGTGGCAGAGTGAGACTCCATCTCAAAAGAAAAAAAAAGAAGAAAAAAGAAGTCTGAAATCAATATCCAACTTATACTAAGCAGTACAAAAGTCAGACAGAACTAAACCCAAAAGTGACATGTAAGGAACTAAAGATAAGAGCACCCAAAAGTGACATGTAAGGAACTAAAGATAAGAGCAATCACTCAATCAATCCAACAAAATATACAAAACAAAGTAAACCCCAAAGTAAAAACAAAAGGTAAAAACAAAGATAAGAACAGAAGCCAATCCAATAGAAAACAAAGCCATGGTAGGGAAAAGCTTAAAACCAAGTTAGTTTTGTAAAACAACAAAAAAACCTAATCAAGTGTGGGTGAGGTGGCTCACGCCTATAATCCTAGCACTTTGGGAGGTCGAGGCAGAAGGATCACCTGAGCTCAGGGATTCGAGGCCAGCCTGGGCAACAGAGACATTGTCTCTCTATTAAAATAAAAAATGTTTTCACAAAAACCCTTCCCCACAAAACTCAATAGAATAGGCAAGTCTCCAGTGAAATCATACACAAAGAAGGAGAAGGTCTGTGCAAAAATGATTAGGAACGTAAATGGAAACATCAACATGAGATTAGGAAGACAGTTATACGAAATCATAGAAACAGAAAATAGAGCAGCAGTTGCCAGGGACTGTGGGGGAGGGGAAATGAGAGTCCTGTAAATGGGTTTAGTTTCGGTTTTGCAAGATGACAGAGTTCTGGAGATGGGTTGGGAAACAATGAAAACATACGTAACATTAATTACAGAGGTGTACACTTAAAAGTGGTTAATTTGGTATACTTTAGGTTATATGTATTTTACCACAGTGAAAAATAAAGAAGATATAAATAAGTTATGCCACAACATAGGAATCAAAGTAGATCAAGTTTCAGAAAAATATAACTTAACAAACTTATTTAAGAAGAAATAAAAAGTCTAAATGGTTCTATAACTATTAAAGAAATTGAATCAGGCTGGGCATAATGGGTCATACCTGTAATCCCAGCACTTTGAAAGGTGAGGTGGGAGGATCCCTTGAGCCCAAGAGTTCGAGACCAGCCTGGGCAACATGACAAAACCTCATCTCTACAAAAAATACAAAAATTAGCCAGGTGTGGTGGCACGCACCTGTAGACACAACTACTTGGGAGGCTGAGTTAGGAGGATGAATTGAGCGTGGGAGGTTGATGTTGCAGTAAGTTAAGATTATGCCACTGATCTCCAGCCTGGGTAACAAAGTGACATCCTGTCTTCTAGAGAAGAGAAAAGAAAAAAAAAAGGAAAGAACTTGAATCAGCAATTTAAAGATCTTCCCTTAAAGAAAATACCAGGTCTAGATGGTTTTTGCAGAAGTTCAAGTAAGGGTAACTCTTTTTTTTAAAAAAATGTATATATTAGTATTTAGTTTTGTTTTAGAAATGGAGTTTTGCTATATTGCCCAGGCTAGTCTTGAACTCTTGGGCTCAAGAGATCCTCCTGCCTCAGCCTCTCAAGTAACTGGGACTATAGGAGCACAGCACTGTGCCTGGTTAGGAATTCTAATTTTATAAAAACTCCTTCTGAGAATGGAGAAAATAAAAACATTCATTCTTTCCATGAGGCCAGTGTAAACTTAGTATCTAAACAAGACAAGTACAGGCAGAGAAGGCAACATCAGAGCCAGTTTTACCCATGATTATAAATGCAACAGTTATAAGAAAAATACTAGTAAACCAAATCTGGCAGTGTAAAAAAAAAAAAAAAATCACGTCCTAGTTGGCGTTATCTCAGGTATGCAAAGATGGTTTAACAACAGAAGAAATGTTTTAAACATTATTTATTATGTTGGTGCTCTGTGTCACATCACTTCTGCTCTCTGCCGATTTCAGCTGTTCCTACAGTAGATAATTTTGTGCAAGCCTAGACTCCCCTGAAGCTGCCAGTACCCCTCCACCTACCCCCAAACTTAGACCAGGCTTCTTTTGCTTGTTGCCTCACGGTCTTCTTCAATGCTTTAGGAACAATTTACTTGCCAGCTAGTGATTCCCAGAAGTGTAGGAGAGTTAAGGACCCTAGAATGCGATCCTCACCCAAAGGGGGAACAGGAGCCAGTGGATATACTTTCCAAACTCTTCCTTGCCAGTAGGCAATTCTGGGAGACCTCCTGTAGTCTTATCAGAGGTCTCAGAACAAGCTTCTGATGCCTACTCCTTTAATTGGGCCT